CAATCATGAACAGTATATTACACAATGATAAAATGTCACAACTACAATACTGCCTTGGAATTTGGACCTTGTAGTGGGTGATAATGATGATGATAATTATATTTAAGGAAAATAGAAGGTTTGTATCATTCTTCCAATCAGTAAATAAGAACATTTAAAACAAATAAAATGTCCATACTTCAAAAAGAAAATGAGAGTATGGGCAAACAGAGCAAACTCACCATCAAAGGCAATCTATGAAAAGCTTGGAATCTGAGTTTCAATAATTTGACCAAAAGTGTGTTGATTAAATCTGACAAAAAATATATATATAAAGAGTGATAAAAAGTGATTTTAAAATGTTATCAAAATAGGACAGTAGAAATCTGGAAGCAAGACCTGAAGTTGGCTGTTGTGACCATGGGCTGATATTTGTAAATAAGCTTTTATTGAGACTCTTTGGTTGCATTCATCCATTTATCTATTGTCATATCCCTTTTGCAGGGACCATTTCATAGTTACATGGCTCACAAAACCTAAAATGCCCACTATTTGGCAAACTATAAAATAAGCTTACTAACCACTACTAAAGACCAATGAAAATGCTTCAGGAAAGACAAGAATATATTTAAAATATGGACAGAATATAACGAAAGCAATAACATTAAGAATCAAGTAGAGGGGAGCATAAATTATATACCTATTTTATATCATAGTGCCACTTACAATGAAACTAAAGTGAAGAAAGGCTCTTGACTAATAATTGAGGTTGCTATTCAATGAGTTTTTGAAATTTTCTAATCTTTAGTTTTTTTATGATTAATGTTATTAGATATGGCTTCTATTTTAGGCTAAATGTGAGCCAACATAACATTCTTGGGACTACAGTGGAATCCCAATGACTTGGAGAACCTATTCCACAGAGACAATTTTGCTACACTGTACATTTGGGCAAGTGGGTAATCAGCTTAGTTGTACTAGATAGGCCTTACTGCTATGAGTGCACACAAAGAATGAAAAATGTTTTCTCAAGTTATAGGAAGCCAGATTCATAACCATCCGTCACTTGCTTGGGCAAGTTACTGATAAACTCTGCAGAAAAATAACAAACAGTGTGTCCCTGCATCACGCCTGTTGAAAATGAGATTCTTTGCCTGATGGATGTTAGCAGAGAGGCTTGTAAAAATGCATTTCCAACTGATTAGTTCAGAAGATGTCAATCTCATGCAGTTTTATGACCTGCAGACTACATGCCAGATGTACATTTGCTTTTTATAAACTAACAAAGATGAATGACTAAATCTGAGTGTTCCTCTTTGGCAGCTACACCATATATTGCCTAAGGGAAGACACTGTGGGAGAATTGGAGTGGGGATCAGTTAACCCCTAATTTGCCAGATTAATGGAGATAAAATTTAGTGCTTGAAAGTACTTTCCTTTGTGAAGGGGTAGTTTTAAGGGGGAGCCTACAGGAATATGAAATAGCTGTGTTTAATTACTCTCTGAAGCATATGTAGACACAGTCTAAACTTTCTCACCAAGAGTACCTATGTGAAGGGATTATAGAGCATAGATTTAAAAATCTCCATAAAACTACTTATAATCATATGTCACCTCTTAATGGTTTGAATGGGTGTCAAGGATTGTTTTGTTTTTGAAGCCAAAAATTGTGTTGAAACAATAGGCCAAGAGAATTCAGTCTTGAAAACTATTCTTCTATTTCAAGAGAAATGGAGAAAAAAAAGCCTATCTCTTACATTATTTTTATAATATATCCTTGTGAAGAATAGGGCCACAGCATGGCCTCATCTTTCTTCCACTAGACATATCAAGAAATATTTAGACATTTTTCATCTTTATGGCTTTTTCAGTAGGAAAGAAATGTTTTGATAAATTTATATGAAATTTCAAAGCTCAGAATCATTTGATTATCTCAACACATGGTTTTAGATTTCTGTCAAAGGAATAAGCACGCTGCTTCAAATAGTTAGCAATCCATGACCTTCGGAATATGCAACATCTACATAAAATATGTCAGCTGTAAGGAAAAATAGATAATATCTCTCATCAGAAATTCAGAGCCATTCATTTCCATATGACCACAAACATGTAAATATGTAAAAATACACCAACATCAGAAGTGTAAGTCAAGTTACCTTATTAAACACATTTCCCCCAACTTCAAAAGAAATAATGAAGAGAATTTTAGTTACTATCTATGCATGCTAGTTTCAAAGATTCCAGTTTCAAGGAATTAAGGAAAGTCCAACACAAACAGACTTAAGTAGAAATGAATACCTTAGCTTCTAGAACTGAGAAGCCCGGAAGGTCCAGTGCAACTTACTGAAAGACCCCAAGGAGGGCACAGTCTATATGACCTGTTGGGTTTTGCTCGAGCTTTTGCCTTCCTTTTTCTGAGACTGATGGACTGATTTCCAGATAGGCCTTGTGGCAGCACGAAGACAGTTGGAGCAATCTTGATTTCACAGCTTATGCCGCATCCCAGTGGACACTGGAAATAGAGTGTCTCCTCAGGTAGTTCCTGAAAGTCACCCTGACACTTTAGGTCCCCTGTAACCATACTGAAGGAGTGCATGAGCATATTGTGCATAGCCTGAGAGCTGAAAGAGCTAAAATACTGAAATGAGACTTTAGAGGAAGGGGTGGGAGTGATAGCAAACACCATGCTGCTGTATTCTCCTTCAGGTGGCTGGTGTGACTAAGGGTCCTAACCCATACGTCTCTTGTTTCTTACCTTTCCTGTGTTGCTATTGACCTCCTTCTGGATAGGAAACTTAGTTCAATCTATTCTAATTTCCTTTGTAAAAGAATTTAGTGCATTTTCATTTATTTTGTGTGGGAGATGGGAACACATGCTACAGCAGGCTTAGGAAAGTCAGAGGTCAACATGTAGGAGTTAGTTCTCTCCTCATCTTGTGGGTCTTAGGGATCAAACTCAGGTCATAAACCTGGTGGCAGCCTGGCGGTGGTGGCACACACCTTTAGTCCCCACACTCGGGAGACAGAGGCAGACGGATCTCTGTGAGTTCGAGGCCAGCTGGTCTACAGAGCAAGTTCCAGGACAGGCTCCAAAGCCAGAGAAACCCTGTCTTGAAAAAAAATATAGAAGAAAGAATAACTAACAACCCTGGTGGCAGGCACCTTTACCCACTGAGCGGCCACCAATATAATTACTTCCTTTTGAATGTTTGCCATCAGATAATGAAGGGCAAACTAAGTGTGGTATAAAGCAAATAAATCATAGGCTAGTTTTTATTTATATAAATAAAACATAAACACCATTTAAATATTTTTACCTGAGTTTTTCCATAAGGTCATATTACAGTCTGCTACTTGAGTGTAAAGATTTTTAAACTGTCTTGTCAGGTACCTAAGAATGTTTGGTGTCTTCAAGCTGTTTTTTTTTTTTTTAACCTATTCTCAGAGATATAATTAGCAAGCAGGTCCAATTTTATATATTTAACTGGTGGATCAACATGGACTCAAAGGAAGGTATCATCACATTGATTGACAGCCACTCAACATAGTACATGATTGGTAATATGCCTCATACAGAATATATTCATACCTCACTTCATGGTGGAGGTTCATTCTGAGACTACAACACCAGACTATTTAATCACTATGCAGACATCTGAATGCCTTACACAAACCTAGACACATAAGGCAGTCAATGCCCTGGGTTAGGGTTAGGGTGACAGTGTCATGAGATGTTTGAAGCTTCTGTTGCCACAACATGTTATCACATTATTTAAAATAACCTTTTCATTAATAGGAAGGAATATACTCTAAGGTGATGGCAAATGATACCATATAACAAATAATAAAGTAGCAACATAGTCATCTATTACCACTATTAAATATTATATACTTGATGTTATATTACATGCAGCCTGATCTTACGTGAAGCATGCAACATTAATAGGCAGTATCCCAGGTCTTTTGGGACCACTGACTTACATGTTAACATGTAAGTATCATGTGGCGCATGACTATAAACCACCAAGTGCACCTTTGTAACATTCTTGGAGAAGGCACTGGTGACTGTATCCATGTTCCTTTATGTCAGGAAGAGTGTTGCAGGGCCATGCTTTGTGGATGATTTTTGTTGTTGTTGTTTGGGGGTGTATTGTTGTTTCTATTTCTGTTTTTTAACACAGGGTTTCTCTGTGTTAAGCCCCCCCCCCCCCCCCCCCCGCTGCTGCCCTAGAACTTGCTCTGTAAAGCAGGCTGGCCTCAAACTCAGAGATCTGCCTGGCTCTGCCTTCCAAGTGCTGGGATTGAAGTGTGGATGGATGGATGGATGGATGGATGGATGGATGGATGGATGGATGGATGGATGGATGGGTATCCTGCATGATCATGGCTAATTCACATTTGCCACAGTTTGGTTTGGTTTTGTCGTTGCTGTTGTTGTTTAGTTTTAACAATACTACATGTTAGGGGAAACAAATTAGAAGATCAAGTTCCTACTTTAAAATTTTAAAAATGCCTTACTTCCCTCTGGAACATACTTTCCCCTTCTTAGAACTGTGACTGGCTAGCTTCACCCAACTTGTCATAGCTTGTTTATGTCAGCACCTTCCCCACTTTCAATTTGCAGTACTTTTCCTTATTGTTAGAGCTTCCAGGGTACCTACCTGTTTTCTGTATGTGCTTAGTATGGGAAGTCCTGGCGCATTTCCCCTAAAATATAGAAGGCTCCAATAACTGTGTTTACAACTTGTCCTGATTCCTTCCTACTAATAAGGTGTTCTAATCAGTAATTCCTCACTCAGAATAAATGTTACATGATTACTTTCAACCATCCTCAATCTGGATCTTCACTTTCTGTAAAAGCCGATGCAAGTATTATATCTGTATTTCTTCTGGCTTCAAAAAGGATGCCACACAGAGCAGCGTGGAACAAACCTACCAATGGTGTAAGTCACTGCACACCACGACACAAGCGCAGGCACAAGGTGCAGCTCTGTCTAACCGATTCACTGCTGTCTCTACAGACGGACTTGTTGACTGCATGGACCCTGATTGCTGCCTACAGAGTTCCTGCCAAAGTCAGCCCTACTGCCGGGGCTTGCCTGATCCTCAGGATATCATTAGCCAAAGTCTGCAGACACCATCTCAGCAAGCTGCCAAGTCCTTCTATGATCGAATCAGTTTCCTGATTGGATCGGATAGCACCCATGTGCTCCCTGGAGAAAGCCCTTTCAATAAGAGGTTAATGCTTGCTTTCCTTATATAGATTCATAAGGGCCTTGAGAATTACTTTCTGTGAAATGCTGATGAGTGTGTATTGAGGAAATTGCTTTTAAAAATACATATATATATGTATATAGTTTTTCATTTTTCAGAAAAGTTTTCATCAAACTTCGCATTTCAAGCATTTTTGACACAGTTCACATACTTTGTCAATTCAATACCTGAGACGTAACAGGACACTCCGTTAAGGAGTCAATAAATCTTCATTTAACCAGTTGATTCTGCAAGTGCGGTTGGAAACATTTCAGAAGGCACGATGAAAAGACCCCAAAAGGCAAAACAGAAGTGCACATTTTATTTTTAGCTGAGCTCACTAAATAATATAAATTATGAATTAATGGATTAGAGCTGCTAACGGCATAGCAGTGACATTGCATAAGCTGTTTTGAATGGTCCTGCACAGAGCGGTAATGACCTGAAAATCAACCAGTAACTGAAAGCAGGTGTCTCCTGTCTCGCTGAGTAAGAGACAATGATTTACACAGAACTCCTGGGTCTGCAGGCGTTGAACAGCATTAATGCACGGAGACCCAGCCGCAGAATAGAAGGTGCTGCACACCTGTTCCTTATTGCCCCCTTAAATCTTGTACTTAGTGATCCCAGCAGATTTACAGATTGGCCCAGAATCACTTGGAAAGTATACTTTTCTTCAAGTATGTCATATATATGATATATGAAAAAAAACATCATTTATAATTTTTAAAATTCATCTCTTAAATTATTAGTCTTGATAATGCTGGGAGAAAAAAAACGGATTGCAACAAATTAAAACTCAGGCATTTAGAAAAGTAAATTACTTGAATTAAGAGGAACACTGTCTTGACATGTTTTAGGTCTGCTTTTTGTGAATAGCATTTGATTGTGTTTGATAGTGATGTCTTTAGTCTGAATTATCTGTAAATCGTGGTGATGCCGGCCTGGGAAGGCAGATACTCAAACTTTTGTGTTTCTACCACAGCCTTGCATCCGTCATCCGAGGCCAAGTCCTAACTGCTGATGGAACCCCACTTATTGGCGTCAACGTCTCGTTTTTACATTACTCAGAATATGGATATACTATTACCCGCCAGGATGGAATGTGAGTCAGTCACATCACATGGTGTCTGTTTGAACTACTTTAAGCATAAGACTGGGCATTCATCCATCACCCATCATGTTTTACTGTCTCTTTTTAAAAAAAAAAAAATAGAAAAGCAACAACTCTTCAGACTCTTAAAAATCTGAGAGAGTGAGAGAGGCAGAGATCAAGTCATGTACTCATCCCTTATCTGAGGCATGATATAATATTGTGATTTTGTTGGAGAACATTTTTTGTCTTTGAAGTTTCATGTTGAAATATTTATTGATGATGTTTCTTGTGTCTGTAACTGAAGTTCAGACGGTTCCAAAGAATAGATAGGAAGTTTAGAGAAATGCAAATAGATAAATGTGTGAGTAGAAAGGGTGTGTTTGCCTATGGACATAAATTTGAAAATATTTCATAAAATTAGGAAAAAGGATTATTTTCTTTATGAATCATCTTAATTTGAGGAGGATGTTAGCCCTTGTATGGTGGCAACTCCCCAGGTTAGCCATTGTATGATGCCAAGTCACTTAGTGTACCTCGTCTGTTCTAGGTTTGACTTGGTGGCAAATGGTGGCGCGTCTCTGACTTTGGTGTTTGAACGCTCCCCATTCCTCACTCAGTACCACACTGTGTGGATTCCGTGGAATGTCTTTTATGTAATGGATACACTTGTCATGAAGAAAGAAGAGAATGACATTCCCAGCTGTGATCTCAGTGGGTTTGTGAGGCCAAGTCCCATCATTGTGTCATCACCCTTATCCACCTTCTTCAGAACTTCTCCCGAAGACAGCCCCATCATCCCCGAGACACAGGTACAGATTTCAGCTGGCACGATCTTCACATATCCAGTCACAGGTTGCCCAGGAATAGTTTTTGACAGTTGTGAGATTCTAGTGCTGTCCTATTTCTGTAACATGTGGTATGTGTACTAGACTAGGAAAATGTCTTTGAAAAGGTGACTTTTGACAGGAAACATTAGCTTTCCAAAGGTATTATCTAAATATTAGTAAATGTTTTAAAGTCTAATAATTTGTATTTCATAATGCCCTAGTCTCCATGGGAATAAAACATCTAACTTTTAAAGAAATGTTCTCATATGTGATGCTCATTTTACCTATTGAAATACCTATAGATTGTTTCCTTTCCCTGTGTATAGAAATAACTTTCAAATCCTAAAGGTAGGATTTTAGGTACAACAGTAATTAACCTTATGCTAAAATGCAAACTAAAACTATATGGTTCAAGGCCAGACCAGTGGTGCAGGCCTGTAATTCTAGCCATCCAGGAGGCTGAGGGAGGAGCATTTGTGGTTCATAACTTTCCTGGGCTACAATGAATTCAGAGCCACCTTAGACAACCTAGTGAGACCCTGTCTCATAATAAAAGATAGACAGGGCTGGAGGGATGGCTCAGCTGCTAAAATCACTTGCTTTTCTCCCAAAGGACTAGAGTTTAGTTCTCAGCACCCATGTCAGGCAGATCCCAGGCACCTATAACTCAGTCTCCATGGAATCCATCTCCCCCTTCTCCTGGCTTCCCATAGCACCCTCACAATACTGTGTGTGTGTGCGTGTGTAAAACTTTGAAAATAAGTTATTTAAAATACAACAAAAAGTAGCAAAGGGGGCTAGGGACATTGCTCATTGGTAAAGAACTTACTAGCGTGTATGATTCTAAGTTCAGTCCTCAGTGCTACATCAATAACAATGATTACAATAATAAGAATAGCATAATCTTTGAAGTGGAGGCACACACAGCAAATTTGCTGCATTCATTCATCAGACATGTATGAAATATTTGTTCTATAGCAGCCACTATAAATAGATACCAGCTGTAAACCAACCAGACAGTACTGGCTGTCAGTGAGCTTCTCAACCAAAAACAGCGAAAAAAACAAAACAATAGGATTCAAAATTATAAAGCAGGGTAAAGTGAGTAGAGATGAGACTCTAATACAGTGTAGTCAGAAAGGGTCTCTCTGATGTCGTGACATGGAACCTTTGAAAGAGTGCATCCAGGAAGGGGTTGGAAATTGAGGCTAGGAATCCTGAAACTCCATCCATGTACTTAAAACGTGAACAAACAACCTATCAGGGAAGTGCACACAGAGATGACAAGATGTTAGCCAGAAATAAATGTATAGGTTATAAAAGGCTCTCAAGCAAATGCCATGTGGAGATGACACAGGGGTTAGGGTTTAACAGCCAAATAAACTTTGAGCTGAGGCCCGGAGAGCTTCATTGTGGCCTTATTCAATTTGTCAATTCCTTCTCAGGGTCCATCCTATAACTCAGAACTTCTTAGTTCTAAAACAGCCCCAATCAGAAGCAGTGTCTTCCCAGGGGTTGACAGGCTTCTCATGAAATTAACCCACAGTGATGTGTCTCCAATAGGCAGCAGGTGCACGGATATAGGCCATCCTTTTGCTATTCATTCACACAGTAGGTAATTTAGTAAAAGTCCACTGAGTGCCTGTGATGCACTCAACAAGGATTAAAAGATGAACCCTGACAATGTAGATGTAGCAAATATTTGCACAGCAGGAAGTTCAAGACAGAGTATGGTCCCTGAGGAGACCAGAACCAGCATTGCTAAGGGGATTGACCCTATAGAGTGATGAAATACAGGGAAAGGGAGCAGAATTCATGTGAGGGAAAAAATGAGCAACAGCATCATAGTAGTCAACACGATTCTTGGTGTACAGAAATTGGTAGTGTGGTTCAGTGGGTAAAACTGGTGACCTGTGTTCGAGTCCCCAGGACCCACATGGTAGAAGGCAAGAACCAACCCCCTCAGATTGTCCTCTGGTGTACATACGCACCCACCCACCCCACCCATACACAAGACCAACAAATAAATGTCAAAACAAAAACAATCAAATGGGAAAATAATTTAAATGGAGGAAGGGTAAAGAAGAAAATCCACCCAGGAGAGACTTTTGAATCATTCCGCAATATGGAACCGAGGGTCGGGCTAACTCAGGTCACAAAATACTGACCAGAAACAGACATAATGAACAGACTCTTGCTTACTTTATTTTCATGTCTCTCTGGCCAGAGCTCAGGCAGCAAGTATGAATAACTATCAGAAAGAGGGGAGAAACAGCAGCAAGGGAGCAGAATAGACAGATACGGGGAGTCCAGTGCAGGTCGTTGCTGCTGAGTCAAGAATGATGCGGCTGGGACAAGCCGAGCTGGCAGGATTTGTATTTCCTAGTAATAAAATGTAACACGGTAAGGTTAAATTACATAGGAGAAACGGATGCTCTCATGAACTAAATTGCAGATATCTGTTCCGTGGAAGTGAGCTAATGATGACGGAGATAATAATTGGTTATCAAAACTAAGAATAACATGATATTTTGAAATAGAGAAGCAACTTCTAGCAGGTCTCAGGAAGTGGTTATTAATTCATTTCCTTCCAAGTAAGAAAGACTATCAAATGTATGGGAAATTATTTTGAGAATAAATTAAGAGGAAATATATCATGTTTTCTGGGCCACTCAGGAGTTGTAGAAATCTGTTTTCCAGAGTAATGCGTGGACATTTCATCCTGTCACAATAGAATGAGTTCCCTTTAGGTTGCCCACTCCTCATCCTATTATGCTTTTCTTGGACAGAGGGGAGCTTTGAGACATTTCTGAGTGGGCAGAGTGAGAGGATAAAAATAAAAAATAAACTAGAAAGGTTCGCTGTGTTCATGAACTGTCTTCCTTAAGATGACTTTGCGCCTGACTCCAGTCGTCAGCATAGTTAGTCAAGACCCCATCCATGTGACACCGCCATGCTAGAGTTGTGCCTTCATAGTCTGTTGTCCCTCATCACATCCCTCTTCATGCCACCTGCTTCACAGACCACAGTGAGCGTTGGTTCAGTCCAAGGCCAGCTTCTAGCTGTGTTCACTTACGCACATTGATAGTCAAGTCTATAATACCCAGAGCTTAAGTTCAGACATTAAAATTGGAAGTGGCAAATCTGTGTACGCCATTCCTAACTGTACTGCATGAAAGATTGCATTAACACTGAGCCTCTATTCCAAGAATCTTACCTCAGGAAAGACAGTCACTTCAGACTTAATCATAGTGTATATCGTGGTGTAGTCTAATGTTAGGAACATCCTGATTCATGGTAGAGGAAGTGGTTGGTTTCAGACATAGGTTACTTTGATTATTTACTAGGATTTCATATGTGAATACTCTATTTTCAATCATTTCTGCCCCTCTTCTCCACCAATTCCTCCTGTGCCCCCACTCCTTATTTATTTGTATAAATAAGCCAAATGAGTCTCTTTGGCGTTGCTCAGATGTGTTCATGGCTGGCTGCTTGGATTGGTTAACTAACCTGGAAAGACTGAGTCTCTAATCCCAGTACTCAGGAGGCAGAGGCAGGAGGATCTCTGTGAGTTCAAGACAAGCCTGGTCTACAAAAGCTAGTTCCAGGGCAGCCTCCAAAGCCACAGAGAAACCCTGTCTTGAACACACACACACACACACACACACACACACACACACACACACACACACACACACACACACACACACAAAAGGCTGAGTCTCCCTCTCAGCAGCCAATAATTACTTATAGCTCTTGAACTAGGGTTGGGATCATGTGAGATTTACCCCATCCACCTGGGCATGTCAGTTGGTGGTGTTGTTTTGTTGTTTTTCAGATCTTGTTTGGACAGCTATATTGTTGAGATTTCATGGGTTTAGTTTCACGGGGGGAGAGGGGGAGACAGAGAGAGAGAGAGAGAGAGAGAGAGAGAGAGAGAGAATATGTCCCGGTCCTCTGGCTCTTTCCTGTCTTCTGTGATGTGTCCCAAGCCTTCCATGAATTTTTTGGCATTTGGAACACCATAGTCAGTTGTCCTCTGCATTCTGACCTGTTGTGGATTTTTGTAATGTCATCTGTCTGCTGAAGGAAGAATCATTTTTGATAGGGATTGAGATAGGCACCCTTAACAAAGGTAGCCTTGCATGTTACAATATACATGGTAAGCCTTTATATAAAAAGCTATTATTAGTCACAAAGCTAATAAGAACATTAGTAGAAAGAATCTCTTTAGAAAACTCTTCAATTTTTTTATATAATGTACAAATGTTTTTTAAATGTTAGGTAATATTTGGGCATCTGGTATTTTTATAATACCTAAATTTGTTACTATCCATTGAGCTATTCACATTGACAGCTGAACATAAGGTTAAAATTACATTATTGTACAGTAGAAGAACCCTTACATGAATAAAAGTAACTTTTTAAATCAAACATCAAAATAACTTTCTATAGTCAAACAATATATTTTTCCTTACATGTGCATTTTAGTTACTCTCTGAGAAAAGAACAGCACAGCTTTAAAACATTAGCTCATATACTATGTTATGAAAAAATCAGTGGCTTTATAGCTCGATATGTAATTAAGTATGAGAAGATGCCATTGTTACATTACATCTCAACATGTGAATGGAATTGACTACTGTCTAACCTGGATTCGCCTTCTCACAATGACCCAGGTAGGCTAATGAGGCCATAGACTTAAGATTAGTCTCTAGGGACCAGCTGATGTAAATCTCTGTTGTGAGCTAACCATTGTATGAGTGCCTGCTCTTATCTCCAAGTGACTGGAAGAATGAGTGAGACTCCTGTGACTGCCATAGCAACAACTGTATGAAGTGTGAGATTAACTCTGGGTAAATGGCAAGAAGCATTTTGGAGGAGGTCATTAGGCTGGCAGCAGAGCTGTTTATAATTATTGGATAAGTTAACAGCTCACATGTTACCTGGGAATGGTGGTGACCCTGCTGTTTCTTGTTTTCTGTGCTTTGCTGGATTCTGTTCGCTCTATCTTCTCAATCTGGGCATACATGATGCCAGTTAGAAATGTGCTTTGTTTCAAACCTAGGTCCTACATGAAGAAACCACAATTCCAGGAACAGATCTGAGGCTTTCCTACCTGAGTTCCAGAGCCGCAGGGTACAAGTCAGTTCTTAAGATCACCATGACCCAGGCCGTCATACCATTTAACCTCATGAAGGTCCATCTGATGGTAGCTGTGGTTGGGAGACTGTTCCAGAAGTGGTTTCCTGCCTCACCAAACCTGGCCTACACCTTTATCTGGGATAAGACAGATGCATATAATCAGAAAGTCTATGGCCTGTCGGAAGCAGTTGGTAAGTTTAGTGGGTATGCCTTGTGCATTGAAAAAGTAGGTTCAAGGTCAGTATTATAAAGGAATTACCAGGAACACATCCAGCAGCTGAATAAGCAGATATGTTGGCAGCAAGTTCACCTAGAAAACTCATGGCCTGGTTGTTCTTGATTCGCTCTGGGGAAAGGAAGGTATCCCATTTCAAACTGGGATCATCTTACAGATTTCAGGGTATTATATTCTTTCTTCTTCCTCCTGTTTCCATGTTTCTTTCTTTCCCTGCGGTAACCCTTCCCCATTTATTTTTCTTCCTTCCTTTATAACCTGACCTCACTAGTTTTTATCATCGTGTTAATGTTTTCTGAATGTGACAGTGAGGTGATGTCAACCGTGATGGTGTCTAGCAGAATATCAAACAAAATTTGGATCCAGGCATTGTATCAGCTCCTCTGACCAGAGGGCCAATGGCAGGATGAACTAAAAACATCAAACTGCTTGTTTCACTGAATAACTAGAAGGTACCATGAAAGCTTGACATATCCAATACAGCTTCAAGCTTGAGCCAGAACATCAGCAACTAAAGAAAAACACAGGGTTTCTATTTTCAGTTTTCTTAAAATACATATTTTTACTCTCCAAAATTAATATCTAATTTGTATTTGAATTGTTTCTCATCAATCAGATAGTTACTACTTTTCCCTTTTTTTCTAAAATTTTAAATCCTTGGTTTATTGTAAATGCTGAACATTGTGAATTAGCATTAATTTAGTATTAATTTTGCTGTCTGTTCTTGATAATGTATAAATACTTACCATAAATATTTTCCATAATGAAAGCTCTTAGGAAGTAAACATAAACAATTCTGACTATTTATATAGCAAATATTATTTAGTTGACTTTGTGTAATCACAATTTGCTGCAAATTTACGGGATATAATTTTTAACTCAGTTTGGACCTAATATTGTGTTGGGAATCTCTTGTAAGAGTGATATGGGTGGGAGAGGGGGCTTATATTCTATTAAATCAGTATAAAATAGCATTTGGAGATTGTTATTTTTATCTTTCATATGGTCAAATCTCCTTAAATGAAAGCAAACTGTTTAAGAGTGGCACAGCCAGGGGTTGGTGGCTCATGCCTTTAATCCCAGGACTCCAGAAGCAGAGGCAGGCAGATCTCTGTGAGTTTGAGGCCAGACTAGTCTACTGGTCTATAGAGCGAGTTCCCGGTCAGGCTCCAAAGCCACAGGGAAGCCCTGTCTTTAAAAACCAGTAAACAAACAAATAATGGGTGGCACTATTATCTCAGAATACTATTGTAAAATTTCCTCCCAATTGTAAGATACCTTACTTTTCCTGTGTTGTTGAGAGGAAGAACTGTGATTTGTTTCCTTACAGTATCAGTTGGATATGAATATGAGTCGTGTTTGGACCTGACTCTGTGGGAAAAGCGGACTGCTGTTTTGCAAGGCTACGAGTTGGATGCTTCCAACATGGGTGGCTGGACATTGGATAAGCATCATGTACTGGATGTTCAGAATGGTGAGTGCTTGCCCACAGTTAACATTGCCCACCCTCACACAGACTACACTGCAGCAGGATTCTATCCTATGGACACTGTAGGAGTAGAATTAGTCAGGGAAAAAAAAAAACAAAAGGATGAAGAGATAATTTGAGAACCATAAAAGTCTTGGAATTTTGGAATTACATAATTCTCTTACTGGGTTTTAAAACGTTCCTATGTTCGTTGTCACGGTAATTTTCCCCCTTAGAGTATAAGTTGCTGACTTTGGTGAAATCACTCTGTCTGTGTGAGTATCTCCTCCACAGATTCATTGCGAATTTCAAATTCCATACTGAAGTGTGTGTACCAAAGGGCTTTGGAAGGAATCACCAAAACTGAGACAAAGTAATTTAGTTTAAACAAAGATAAAAACCTGTGTGACTTAACCAGTAGATTCTTGACTCTTAGACAATTAATCTGCTCCAACTGTGTAGCTGAGTCCCCCCCCCTCAAAGTTCTGTTTAGTCTTTATTTGAGGAAAGCGAACAAACAAATAAACAAAACAAGCAAAAATCTGTCACTCAAAAGTATTGTAGCTTGATCTTGTGACGATTGGCAGAAATATAAATTAATAATTTCAAAGAGGAAAAAAACCTAAAATACTACTTCTAGCAGTCCTGGTGATATGATAATAAATGTCCTCCAAAGAAACACATTTCAGACATCCCAAACCAAAAAACAAAAATCATAATACATGTGGGAAGGAATTCAGTTGCCTCTACTAGTTTCTGACATTCTGTTTATGTACTAGTCCACATGTCAGAGCATCCAAAGGTGCCTTATTTTTAAAAGCAGGTCTGTAAAGTAACCAATTCTAACCTGTCTTGAGCCTTCTCATACTGAGAAGTCTCTACTCTCCTTCTATAAATAGCTAGAAGAGATGTCTGTGTTTTCTGGTCATATCCCTTTTGATTTTTTGGAAGAGCTGAATGCTGGATGAGACTATCACACAATTAAACATTCATGATAGCTGGTCACATTTGTAGTGATGACTTTGATGTTTGCTCTGTCTTTAAAAACAAGAGTATTGAGGCCAGGAGGTGGCGGCACATGTGTTTAATCTGAGCATTCAGGAGACAGAGGCAGGTGAATCTCTATGGGTTCAAGGCCATCCTGGTCTATACAGCTAGTTCCATGGATGCCAGGGCTACACAGAGATACTCTATCTTGAAAAAACAAACAAACAAACAAAAAAACAGTATTGGGAAGAATGCATCAACTTTATTTTCTTAAGATATATTTATTTTATATGTGCATTGGTGTTTTGCCCTCATGAATATGTGAGGGTACTTGATCCCCTGGAACTTGAGGTAAAGACAGTTTAAGCTGCCATATGGGTGCTGGGAATTGAACCTGGTTCCTCTGGAAAGGCAATAGTGCTCTTAACCACTAAGCCATTTCTCTGGCCCATGTCTTAAGTATGCTGACTGGAAAGTAGTTTCCAGGTCAATATTTGAAAATGCTGGTTCCTTGTCTTGAGGAGAGGGTGACAGGTAGGGCATGGATCACTCCAGAAGAATAAAACAGAAGTCCTCCTCACGCCTTTCCTGGTTTTGCAACAGTGTTTGGCTCTCTTCCTTTCCCATGTGTCCTGGTCATCAGTTTGCAGTCTGAAGTCTGGGAACAAGGCCCATCTCAGGCACCCCACACAGCACATACATTATAAATGCAAGGGTGGTGTCCTCCAGGGAACAGCGCTTCCGTAGCAGGCACAAAGCCCCGGGTTTCATCCAGTTCACCCAATCAGCCAGGCTTGTAGCACACACCTGCCATTCTAGTTCCTGTGAGGAGGTGAAGTTGGGAGGACCACAAGCAGAGGGTCATCCTTGACTACATTATACATAGGCAGCTTGGATCTAGAAGACTTTAAAACTTAAAAGGAGAGGAAGAAGGGACTCCCACCCATGAAGAGCACTCCATATGTTGTCTCGAAGCTCCCCTTGAGTCACCAGTGTTATTTGAAGTGGTGGTAGTCTCAATCTGTGATGTGAGTAATGCTAAGCCGATTCGTGGTCTTTCAAAATGCAGAGGCATGTGCTAAACGTGCTTGTCGCTGCTCTCGGTTACATTATCTAAAATTATATTCCATCCATTTTCCACATATTTCCACATCCCTGCATGGGTCCCTCACAAACAAACCTGAGGGAGCACTGTCCTAGGCATGTTTTAGTTATAATGAAAATACAGCATAAAATTCATAGGAAGTTAGTAACAGGATTTCTCCAAGGGACTAGAAAACATTAGGACGAGTATAGGCACCCAGCCCCAGCAGGGCCCCTGTCATTCACCACTGTTGGTAACACTTGATTATAGCATTCCAAAAGATTAGGAAGTATACAGATACTGTGTAGGGTTGCATAATATAAACATACATAAACACACAAATTCTAAACCAGAATTTAGGAGGCTTTTATTTTAATGCTATATCAGATTTTAAAGCTCAAGTGCCAAAAAGTCTGACTTTCAAAAAACTGTTGTGTTATGACATGTTACTTTAAAATATGAGCTTATCTCAGTCCCATGGTAAACTGGTTGCAGTCTAGAATTTGACAAGTGGTGGCTTTCCAAAGTGACATGTGTCTAATTGAATGAACAAAGTGATTTGTAACTGTGGCAAGCAGGATAAGCTATAGACGTGGCAGAAGAGGAGACAAAGATGTAGGTGGTGACAACTGTTGGCTCAGGCAGCCTTGAACATGCAAACAAATACTGTAATGCCTACCGTTCTGTTTTGTTGTCAGAGAGAAAACTCATGAGGGGCCAGCCATTTGCTGTAATAGCATAGGGTTCTTCTGATAAAAATTGCAGAACCAACTCTCCCAGGGAATTATACTCACATAATTGTCAAATAATGTAATCACAGAAAGGAGAAATCTTAGGTTATCACTTTGCCTTCCTTGAATATTCAAGGCAAAAAGCATTTCATCTCTTGTTGTGATCCAGACTTATTTAAATTATTTTCTCTTAAATTTGAATAAACCTGTTTTACCGGTCCTGATTTCTTTATGTAAATTTTCCATGATTATTACATCACCCAAATAGCAAGGCATTTAAAAACGTAATCACAAAATGCACCTAAAATGCACTGAGCTATAAGGAGCATACAATTATTCTGATCACTTCTTCACTTTCAAATTATCCCAAAGTGGAGGAAAAATCACGTTTTTGAGTTTTCTGTCTGTGCTTTCACAAGATTGTTTTTTCACCAGTCTATCTGTTGATAAGTACAGTCATTAGCTCTGAGAACTACTTTGAAACATAGAACACCCAATAAATACAATATATACAGCTCTAAAGCCAAAGTAGCAAGTGGTTTATACAGCTAATAACATGTCGAGGTGTGTCGTAAAATATGCACAGGGTGGGAACAGCTGACAAGCCAGTGGATAGCAGACACAGGCCATTGATTTGCACAAGGTAACAGCAAAGTGAACCGAAATGAAGTTTCAATGTAAATCTAGTTTCTTACTAGCAAAATATTGAATATTCCTTTGGGTTTTTTTTTCTTGCATTTTCAATGAAGGCCATTATGGAGCACCCTGGCATTTTTGTCTTTGTAAAATTATTGACACTTTCATGCCTTAAAGTGGAGTTTAGTTTTAATAGCAAGCTGGCCCTCTGTATCAGTTTCATTGTGTTTTGCATTTTAAATAATTATGTATGTATATATGTATATATATACAGCAGACGAATATGAAGCAAGACTCCTTGACAGTATAGTAGAGTTAAAAATAGGCCTCCATAGGCCAGGGTATGGCTCAGTGATAGATTATGTGCTTACTATCATGAGACCTATAAATAAATTCTTTCTAACTTTGTTTCCATAAAGTATTTTTGCTTTTTGTAAACTCATGGCAAATTCATAAGAAACTCATATTCCCAGGGTACACTTTTATTAATCAGGTTAATAGGTAATATTTTCCACATTGATTAACAATTAGGCAAATTTTGTGGTCCCTAAGAATATTATATAGAGCATGGTTCTCAAACTTGGTTGCACATTAAGATTACCTGGAGAGTTTTTAAAAATTGAAACACTAAAGCTGCCCCCAGACCAATTAAATCAGAGCCTCTGGGGTAAGGACCAGCCATCAGAAGCTTTTTACGACACTCCAGACTGTTCCAGTATGTGGGCAAAATGGAGGATTGCTGGTGTTGAGAGTTTGGGTTCCCAAAGCCTTCTCTTAGTCCTTTGTCCCTCTCACTAGTCTTTTAATAACCGACAGGGCTTTTTTTTTTTTTTTTTTAATATAACCTATGTAGTTTATCATGTAATATCTATCTTAAAGTTTCCAGTTCTAAATCAGAAAGACACTTCATCATCATGAGTTTCTAGGGGACATGTTTGCCTTCATCATTCATTTACATCATAAGAAAAATGTGTTTTCTTCCAGGTATACTGTATAAAGGAAATGGGGAAAATCAGTTCATCTCCCAGCAGCCTCCAGTGGTCAGTAGCATCATGGGCAATGGTCGGAGGCGCAGCATCTCATGCCCAAGTTGCAATGGCCAAGCTGATGGGAACAAACTGCTGGCACCAGTAGCACTAGCTTGTGGGATCGATGGCAGTCTATATGTAGGGGATTTCAACTATGTTCGACGGATATTCCCTTCTGGGAATGTAACAAGTGTTTTAGAACTAAGGTATGTCTTTCTTCTATTAGGGGCTTTAGTCAAAGACAAACACACACTTAAAAATGCAGTTGGATGTGATATGTTTATTTATTTATTTAAGCATACATCCCCCTAGTTTAAAACTTATTCAAGGAAGAACATAGTTCTGTTATTAATGTGTAAAGTTGTCTGATATGGAAAATGTCTTACTCATTCCAGTGATTTTTTTTTTCTGTGAACTGACAGGTAAAAGGATACTTTTTAGTTTCTTTCATTTTCCTTAAACTAAATCACATGCAGTGCAGGAATTCATCTTCTACTTCACAATGGTTAAATGGGGGCCTAAGATGTTTTCTCTGGAATCAAGATGTAACAGTGAATAAGCAAGGATATTGGATGCTCAGTTGGGTCAGCCCAATCGTTAGCCATAACATGAATAGTAATAACAGAATGTCATTGTCTTGCTTTGTTTTAAGTGTGATTATCAACCAATTCTGACAGCAGTTTGATAATCTTTGCTTACGAAGTTCATTGCTAATGTTCTCTCAGCTTAAATTGCAATTTTCCATACAAGTAATTAAAACCCCAATATTGATCTCATTCTATTTCAGAAGCATTTTCTAACTCTGCTTTTTTTCTACCTTTCTTTTAACTGCTTCCACCAAGAAATAAAGATTTTAGACATAGGTAAGCATCCTGCCTAAAGGTTATTGCATATTTTCCAATGTCCTTTTTATGTTTCGATGTGAATCTCAGAAATTGTTTTTTAGTAACATAATCTTGAGAAGGGAACACAGAACCAAGAACATCTAAGGATTTAAAAGTGCTTAATTGGACAATTACATAACTTACTGCAAAATAGGATCTTAGAAATATTTTCAAGTTGGTTCATAAAAAGATCTTGTCATAAGGAATTCTAATGTGCAGTTACTGACTTATATAAGCTAAGCTTCATGAAATAGAACAAAGTTTCAAACACAACAAAGCCTAAGGAGGTAGTGTAGTTTGACCAGTATCCAAAACAGATCATGTCTTACTGGGCACAAAGCTAATTCAGTTGGGCAAACTATTTAATAAAAATAGTCTGAAAATATTGTACTATGGAAAATTTTTTTAAGTTATATATCTATCGGACCAATATGAACATACTGCTAAGGACCCTCCCTGAACTTGGGAACAATCCCTCTATAGCATCCTACAAGCTTTTTCTAATTTTCCTAAATTGGAAGAACTATTAGAGTCAAGAAATAGTGTTTTGTTGCCATTATTATTCAGGGAAAGACTGGATGATGAATGTAGAATACCATCAGCTCGAAGGTTGTTCCTGTTCTGTTGACAAGTACACTTGCCTGAAGAAGTTACATACAGTAAAAGCCCTGTCAGAACAGTCTTCTCTAACAGCCTTTCTTTAATGAAAAAAATAAGAAAGACCCAGTGAAAAGCAAGGAAGCTTAGACATGCCAGATCTAGTTGGGCCATCTAATGCGATGATATATTTAAAAGGTAGTGTGATATTTTATGTCATATATCTTAGATGAATAAGTCAATATAGCTCACTGTTGTAGAGATTGACAACTAGCAAAGAATGGAGTTCTACTAACAGAAAACTGTTGCTGATCAGAGCCATGGTCCCAGGACCCTTCCCTAAGATTCTGTATTGATCTACACGTTCAACTAATGGCTCAGTCACATGCTAAGATTAACACTAAATCTCCCCAGAACACTGAGCATCCTGTTAGAGGCCCCAACAGACTATCAACACTTCTCTGCTTGTTTTCTTGGTAACTATGGAGAAATGAGGAAAGTCAGACAGGTATGCACACCAGCCCCTTGTGAAAATGCTGTAGGCGATGTAGGAAAGACCGTGAAAGCCTACCTTTTAACAAGCTGGCCTATTATATACCAGGCATCGTGCCAGACATTGCTTGCATGTTATTAGCGAGCCACACAGTAATCCCTCGGGTTACACGTGAGGTAATGGAGGTTGGAAGACATCACATCTCATCCCAAGATACACAACTAAGAAACGTGAAACAGAGATTTGAACCCCTCTTATGTGTATGTCCTTTCCATAGTACCACATCTCTCATTTATATGTTCCCCGTGGCTGGGATTCTATAGGGAGAGTTCCTAGAAATGGAAAAAAGAAAGAAAAGGCTAGACTTATTTCACAGTCGTTTTGCAAGTATTTTACAATTATCATCTCTGGGAAAAAAAATTCTCTGGGTTTGGAACTTTGTTTTCTGCATAGTGCCATAGAGTATGAAGTCAATATATACTAACTCATGGCATTTGACACTGGCACTGTAATCCCTCTTCCCTAGTCCTCTGTCAGCTTGCTGTGTGTCATTCAGACCACATTTGATTGTCTACATTTCCTTTCTCTGCCACCCGGGCATGACATACTATTTGGGTTGTGTATTGATACACTTGAGTGTTAAAACTAACAGTGTTAAATGCTTAGTCCCCATATGCTGGACACTTTGATGAATGGTAACCCAAGACTAAGCTCTCAGAAACTCACATACAGTAGCAATCCAGCCGTTTATGTGACTGACTGATATCTGCCGTATTATTTTTTGACACATCTTGTACACAACTGTCCCATGAAAATGGTTCTTGGAAGAAGAGATGGCAACATAGTAAGGAAGGTTCCAGAAAGTGCTGATATTTGAGCTAGATCAAAAAATAAAATCAGTTGAATCAGAACAGCATGAAGAATGACATTCATGGAATGACAAAACAAGAGGCAATAAATATACTAAGACATCCCAAGAGTAATCATACCCACCCAAATAAAGTGGGGATTTGTGTGGCTAAGAATGAGAGATGCAGGCTGAAGCCCATTACGGTCAGGTGCTTAGGGCCACCTTGAGATCAGTGAAAAAACTACTCACAGAGTGAGGAATTATTTTAGGGTCATGAACAAGTGGCACGTTCAAAGTGGCCTTTTAGGAATGTGAATAGGCTTGATAAGATCACTTAGAAAGTTAATACACTAGACCATGAGGGAGAGCATACCTCAAAGAGAAGACTTAACAGGGAAGGGAGTCAGCTGACAGGAACTGTACCTCCTGGGCAGTTAGAAAGATGAAGGCATAAGCCAGTGGCTCGCACCTCCAATCCCAGCCCTTTGGAGGTGGAAGCACTTGGATTGCTGCAAGTTTCCAGCCACCCTGATCTACAGAGTGGATAGAAAAATGAAAGGCAAAAATGTACAAAGGTTTTGAGCCCCATTCATCCAACAGATAATGACATCATCAATGCAATTCATGATTTTGTGTATTGAATAACTATCTAAATTGGCCTAATGAAAATCATGATACTTAATTTCGTTGTGTCCTCATTTAGCTTCTTCAAAACTGAAGTGATTTCCAAACCTAGTGAGCAAGCTTGTAATTAGCTACTCAGCACACTGAGTCAGGAATAGCACTGTTCAAGGTCAGCCCGGGTAAGAGCGTGGAACCCTCAAAATAAGGGGATAGAAGGTGTGAGCGTAGCTCAGCAATAGAGTGCATGTCCAGCATGGGTAAGGCCCTCCTCATTTCAAACCTCATCACAAGAAGGAAGACATCTCTTAAAGGGAGGGAGGGAAGGAAATGGAGTTCCTTTCAGAAACTTCTTCCTGTTTACTAGCCTGCTTTTCATTATAGCCTCCTTTTCTGCCTCGCAGAGCAGTTGTAAGCAAATCAGGGACAGGCAACAGGAAGAAAGGAAGTCACAAAATGTGTCTAATTCTGCATATAGGAGTAGCATTGTCAATTGTAGATAATTTAATCAATGTAGACTAACTGCTTCAGGTCCTCTTCCTGTATCACATACACCATAAATTGTCATTAATTATACTATTAGAAGCCATAAGAAAAATATTGGCCAGGAATATCAAGAGACAGCCTTATTATTTAAACATTCAAATATGACTATTATGCCAAGTTATTAAGTACTGCCAAAAAATTCTATAAAATAAAATTCCTTTGGGAGCACATTCCCCATGGAGGGATACTCCTTAGCCTAGAGGCAGGAGGAAGGGCCTAGACCCTACTCCAAATGACTTGACAGATTTTGATGATCCCTCCTGGAAGACATCACCCTCCCTGTGCAGTGGGGAGAGAATAGGATGGGAGGGGAAGTCGAGAGTCATGGGAGGGAAGAGAGGGAGAAGGAACTGGGACAGATATGTAAAATAAGAAAAAAATAAAAGCAAATAAATAAAATTCCTTAATTATATTTAGTTATATTCATTCACCATTTCATTTTTTTAATTTAACTGGCAACACTAATAATGATTGTAAAGTGGGTTTCTGTTTGATATTACAACTCTCCCCTCTGATGTTTATTACTTTGCTAACAAACCCCTTAATAGGCAGCAAGTTTTAGCTCACCCTTGTTCAAATTCCTTAAATTCCAAACTAAAAACCTTAAGTTAATTCATTAATACCAACCAAGGGGCATTTAAACATATAGGACTAATAATAAAATCAACTTTGTGAATTTTATATTACCAATTAAAGGATCAAAGAAAATCCCTATCACAAGTCTTATGAGTTTGAATTAATTAGATTTTCGATATAAAATTATCAAAACTTGAGTCAGCATTTCTTATTGATTTACTAGAAAGACCATCTCCCAGGTCTCCGTTTGCAATCATCTGAACAGTCTTTGGGTCACCATAAAAGAGGCAGTTTTGCTTTTATACATAAATAGAATTTGTTGTGTTTCTTCTAATGCTTTGTGCCCTAAGAGCTGTGGCACAGTTTCCAAGTGAAAAGATAGCAAGTGTTAATAGCATGCGTTCTCTGTGCCGTTCTCTGCAAGTGTTTCTCTCGTCTCCGAAGGCTGAATGATGAGAAAATAAATGAGTGTAACCAGCCCGCACTTGCCCCTGGGTCTGTGTCCAATTGGCAAGACTATAGGGAAGATGTCTTGATAACTGGCATCTAGGTCATCCTCAATGAGTTAAGAATCGAGGTGTAGTATTGGCGATATCGGGTGGAGCTCACCTCCTGGCTTTTTGCAGCTGTTAGGCACGGTTGTCATTTTAAACCCTACTGAAACAGCAAAATCTCAGCCAATCCCACAGAAATGCTCAGTGTTTCTATTGTTGAACACAGATTTCCCCAAAACACTGCCTTTGTAAAGCCCTGTGCCCTGAGGCCACTGCAGACCTACTCCCGTTACCATGACCTCCATCACACCCTCCCTGGATGGATGCACTTCTCATCTGAAGCCCAGTGCCTCTCTGTAGCAACACACCAGCCCCTCGGTGACCTTTGGGACAATAGAAAGCAGGTTCTAGTGCACCCTGTCAGGGAATTCCTCAGGCTTGAAATTTGATGATCTTGAATCAAACCCCAGTTGTGTATGTGATTCAGAACTCCTCTGTCACCTGCCTGTCAACTTAAAACTTTCCAAACTCATGTCCACCCTAATTTTTTGTTTTGTCTTTTTTTTTTTTTTTTTTTTTTTTTTTTTTTTGAGGGGGGCTAGCGTTCTTTAATTTTAGTTTTAGAATTTCAAACATGAATGCTTTATTCCCATCATTTCTACTCCTGCTTGCCAGGCCTGTGTCCCCTCACATTTGCCTTCTTTATTATTGTTACATGTACCTGTCGGTCTGTCTGTCTATCTCTGTGTGTGTCTGTATGTGTATCTATTAAATCCATATAGTGTGTCTCATATGTGCATGTATTTAAGGCCAAACACTTGAAGTCTAGGCTGTCAGAGAGCTCATCCCTGAAGAAAATGATATATTATTCTTTCTCTGCCTCTCTATGACTCTTATCTCTCTCTGCCTCTGTCTGTCTCTGTCTCTCTGTCTCTTATCTGTCTCTCTGTATGTCTGTCTCTCTCTCTCTGCCCCCCCCCATCAACTCTTCATCTAGGACCTTGTAAAATTTCCCCTATCCATGTTGACATGTCAACTGGTGGTATCATTTTTGCCCCATTTTAGCTCTGTAGAGACGCTTCCCACCTGTGTGAGGGCAGGGTCTAAGGAGTGGCTGTCCTTTGCCTATGAGACAGCACCTCATGTCTTGGATGTGTGCACTTCCACATTGTTCTGGACAGTAGAACTGTGTGCATGATAGGATGTTTCCCTCATTAGATGTTGCAAAGCTGCACTGCTTGATTTGAAAGTGACTGTGTCTTCAAGACACTGATGCAAACAAGTAATCCCAGCATAGCAGAAGTAGAGATGGGTGGATAATGAGTTTGCAGCCAGGCTAGGCTACTTGTGAGTTCAAGGCCAGCCTAGGTAATATGATGAGATCTATGACAGGAGAGTGGGCCACACCTCGTTCCTATAGGTGTACAAATATCAAGAGAAAAGTGTCATAACCAACCAACTGTTCATAGTTATCAGATAATCAGGAGATAGGAAAGACTAGAGAAGTCTCTCCAATGGCATATTATGGTTATAGTTTTCCTTACTTAGGATTAAAGATAAGTTAACTATAGGACTTTAGACTCACAAAGATAGGATAGATGATAGAATATTTTCTTTAAATCTTGCTAAATGGTAATAGACTAAATATTGTTAACAGTGGTTCTAATTTGATAACTGCTTTGTTATATATTTTGCTGTATTAAGGTTAAAACTCTTCTTTTTATTTTAGACAGAAAAGAGATGATGGGAGATGTCATTCTGTAAATATGTTTCTCTTATTGGTTAATGAATAAAGCACTGTTGGCCAATAGAAAAGCAAGATAGGTGGGACTAGGAGACAAGAAGGTTTCAGGGAGAGGGAAGAGGAGTTTTCAAGATGTAGGACTAACAGGGTAAAATGCTAGCCCCTCTCTCCGGTAAGATAAGACCACGTGGAAATACTTAGAATGGTAGAAATGGGTTGATATTTATGACTGAGCTAGCCAGTAAGCTAGCCAATGCTAGTTATAGACCGACAGCTTTATATGCAGCATCTCTGTGTGTTATTTGGGACTGGCGCAGCTCTGGGACCAGGCCAGCAGGTAAACCTGCTCGTAACAGCACATCTTTTAAATAAACCCAACCTGATTGACCTCAGACTCAGTGACTGGCTGTGTACAGCTGAAAGGCCAGCTCTCAGACTGTGGGTAGAAATATCTCCACAACTGTACCATTGCTCTTAAAGAAAAATGGTGTCATCACATTTATCATGGTCAATTGGCCATTTGTTACAAATCAGATTTCTGAGATGTTCTTATTCTCTCACTTGATTCTGAGTCCTTTGGAAAACTGTTTACCCTTAACATCTTCCTGTACTCAAGGCCTCTTGATCTAACCTGACTCTTCTTGCTAAAAGATATCAAGGGCTGTAAAGGGGACCTAAAGACTGAAAAGCTTAGTATACCTTTGTGTGCTGGCCTCACAGCCATAGAGCCCTCTTGTTCTCCAAAGGTCCCTACTGACTACATGATTGGCTATGCTCCCCCATCAATGTGAGACACTAGTAGAAACTATGACATTATTGTAACAAAAGCCTCTCACATTGAAGTACACACATCCACTACTTATGCCAAACATGACATTAGAGTTGGTAGTGGAAGGCTGCTCACTATGAATGCAAGAAGACCTTCTTCAAGCCTCCAGCACCCATGTGAAACCTATACCTCTAGCACTGGGAGGCAGAGGCAGGTGGATCCCAGGTCCTCTCTGGTCAGGTATATTAGCTGACTTTACAAGCTGCGCATTCAGTAAGAACCCCTATCTCAAAAAATAAGCACGGGGGCAACAGAGGAAGACCCAACATCAACCTTTGGCCTATACACACATATACCACAGACACTCACACAAAATAAATAAATAAAAATTTAAAACAACATTAAAGACTGAGAACTGTTTCATTATAGTGTAACATGATTAGCATTAAAATTTGCCATATCATTATTAAAATTAAAATATTTGTTAGTCTTATACTATATGTTTTTTATGAGAGTATAATAGAATTACATTATTTCCCTCCTCCCTTTTCACCCTCCAAATTCCTATGAATTCACTCCTTGCATCTTTCAAATTCATGGTCTCTTTATCTTTAATTGGTGTGTGTGTGTGTGTGTGTGTGTGTGTGTGTGTGTGTGTGTGTGTAAAACCACTGTTTCTTCTGAGCTCAGGAGTCCTATTTCCTAGAGTTCTTTGTGTAGGGCTGAGGCTTCATGAGCCTACCCCCTTCTATGTTAGAATGTCTATTGGTAACATCCTCGTTCAGGTCATGTCTAGGCAGCCATTGTGATTCATGTTCACATGATAAATGTTCACAAAATAAATGTATGACTTTTGATGTATTTGATCGTAAAGACATGGAAGGAATAGAGAAGTTGGGAGAGGGGGGTGAGGGAGAACATAAAGCCAAGCTTGTCATTGAAAGATATGTTATTTAATGGATTCCATCTTTGCTATCCTCACTGAAACACAAGTCACTTAAACTATGTTTGCATTTTCCAGAAGACCATATTTGCACGTGGTCTGGAAGTCATATGCCTAAGAAAGTAGTGTTCGGAGATTGCCTTCTGCATTTTAATGGATTATCTCATTTTATCCCCATAGTTCTGAACAGACATTGTCCCAGCACCATCTGCTTTTCTGTAGAGCAACTACCAATAGGCATAATGCAACATCCTAAGAGCACAGGGTGGGGCGGGGGAGATATTGTTTGTGAGGTTCTACAAAAGCAAAGCAATTATTCCTGATAGTAATAAAGATGTTGGTCGTATGTTAAGTCAATGTGTAATATACTGGAGAGATATTTCCTCAGAATAAATTTCCTCTGTTAAGGCAAACAAAACTAAATAAATGTAGAGACCTTGCTAGTTTATTTTAGGCTAGAGCATATTGCTGCCAAGGGTAATTGTTCTTAAGAATGACTGTTGATGGGAGTGAAGAGAAGGTTCCACAGTTAAGAGGACTTGATGACCTTCCAGAGGACCCATGTTTCACTCCTCACCCTATGGCAGCTCCAAATAGCCCTAACTCACTCCAGCTGCAAGGGATCTGATGCTGTCTCCTGGCCATCATTGACACCAGCATGCACATGGTACACACACATATTTGCAGGCAAAACATCCATACACAGAAAAGGTAACAAATAATAAAATAAAAAATAGTGACTGCCAATTGGTTAAGTCCTCAACACCAAACCAAAAAGAAAAATATCACAGACTTAAAAATACTTCGTCTCAGAGACTTGGTACCTCGGATCAGTCTCCTAAGTCATCATCACCTAGCCTGTTCTTTGCCCAGCCTTTGACAGTGGGTTGCAGCTTATAAGCACTTCCTCATGGTGTGTTTTATTTTGCTTTTCATTTCCTTCTGTGTACAAGGATTAGCTCTTTCCTAATATTTACATGTGAATCTTTCTACAGTAGCAACCCAGCTCACAGATACTACCTGGCTACAGATCCGGTCACAGGAGATTTGTACGTTTCCGATACAAACACCCGCAGGATTTATCGCCCCAAATCACTCACGGGAGCAAAAGACTTGACTAAGAACGCTGAAGTGGTTGCTGGGACCGGGGAACAATGCCTTCCTTTTGACGAGGCAAGGTGTGGAGATGGAGGGAAGGCTGTGGAGGCAACTCTCATGAGTCCCAAAGGTACTGGCAGTTATCAGTTTAGGCTTTTCTCTTGACTTTCTTTTTTTAATAAAAATAGAAAGTTCCATCTGATTCATGATTGTGTTTAAAGATGAGTCTAATGTTTTATCTCTAACTATGTTCTGGAAAGCTGTTATCACATCTACTGTCAGGAAACAACTAGATGCTAGGTTGACTTTTACAGTAGATATAAGGTCCTTTTTAAAAACAAAAATCATACTGGTTTTTTTTTCCAACTTTTCCAAGACTGAAGCCACCACTCTATAGTATTCAGGTCACGTCTTAAACTTCAGATTCCTTCATTGTCCTGGAATTTTCTTGCCATGAATGAGTCTCAGGCCTCTTTAAAAGCATCACTAAGCAACCCTATTAGCTCTCACCCACTTCGGAGCTCCTTACCCTTTGTCTCTATGCCATGGGAAAATCTGCTGGCTATGAGAAATTTGGGGAGGTAACAGGCTAAAATTCTATGTGATAAAAGCTTTTTAAGGAGCCAAGATTAACTCCTTACTCAAGCCTCCTGCCATCTGTTACAATGGGTTTGGGTTTGGAAACTTTTTTTTTTCTTCATTATAACTAGTGAGGATTGTGTGAGCAAGGGCTGAAGAAAAAATATTTGCTGTGCTGAATTATTCATAATGGCAAATTTCATTGTAACAAGGTCAGCTAAACACTAACCTCAACTCAGATCTGTCTTTGTTGGAAGAATGTCGTGACTGTAAGTCGGCTCTAACAGAATCTGAGCCTTTCTCTATAATGTATGGCCTACACTGGGACCGTGAATGTTATTTTGTGGTGGAAGCATACAAGTACTATGCCTAAGAGGTTCATACACTGGATAGAGATTCTTGGAGATTTGGATTCTTTGTTGTGTGTATTTATTTACATAAATGTATTTATACTATAAATGCCTGTGTGTGATTCCCCCCCCCCTTTTCTTAAAATTTTACAATCAGCAATCTTTTTTTGGTTGGTTTGGTTTTTAGTTTGGGGGTTTTGGGTTTTTTGAGACAGGGTTTCTCTGTGTGGCCCTGGCTGTCCTGGAACTCACTCTGTAGGCCAGGCTGGCCCCAACCTCAGAGATCCACCTGCTTCTGCTGGGATTAAAGGCGTGCGCCACCATGCCAGGCTTTACAATCAGCAATCTTACCTGCTACCTACCATCCACTTTATTGGCAAAGCTAAGTTTTGAATTTGTCATTGGGCCTAAGGATTTGATCAAAATTAATCATTTTCTCTTAAAAATGGTAACACTTATTTCTCTTGCATAAAGGAATGGCGATTGATAAGAATGGACTGATCTACTTTGTTGATGGAACCATGATCAGAAAGGTTGATCAAAATGGAATCATATCAACTCTCTTGGGGTCCAATGACCTGACGTCAGCCAGGCCTTTAACCTGTGACACCAGCATGCATATCAGCCAGGTACTGTAGATAGTAAGCCAAGCTGTTCGTCTTGCTTCTGTCAGTAACAGTGATGGCAGCATGTTAAATTGCATCTGTCAGGCGTGGCAGTGGTTATGATACAACTGTTCTGTTTACATTTACAGCAGGAGCTACTAAAAGTTATATTCTTCTGTAATTCTGCATTTGATGAATTTGGTGAAATACAGCACAATTAGCGCTAAGAAATGCTAAGAGTGTGTAATAAAATTCCACTAACGTAGCAGCATGCAGATACTCCAAAAAGAACAAAACAGCTTAAGTCTCTAATCTTTTGATTGCATAGGCTCCTTGAGTACAAGCAAAAACACACTACGATTAGTCCCAAGGGGCTTATATTTAGAACTAGGAACTTAACTATTGGCCTGATTGAAAACACAATAGAATACTAATGTATTCATAACCTAGGAAGCCCTGGCATTTGGCTGTTAACACCATAAGGAGCATATGTGTTCATATCTCAGTGATATCTGTTGACTCACTACATAGAAGTTCATTTTCTGTGTGGCTATAAGCAGCAAATCTTTCCATGCACTGTATTTTTAAATAAGATGTTATTTCCTACATTCATCTCCACTAAAAAATTGTAGGTTTGTTTTGCTAGCATTATGGAGGGGGAGACAATTTTTAAAACAGTTTATCAAATTAAGGCTAATTTCCCTAAATGGTCTAATTTACTCTTCTAGCAAACTAACTGCAGTGTAGTAACTGACTAACCAGTTCATTTCTGTCTTTATTAAGGTACGTCTGGAATGGCCCACTGACCTTGCCATTAACCCCATGGATAACTCCATTTATGTCCTGGATAATAATGTAGTTTTACAGATCACCGAAAACCGTCAAGTCCGCATCGCTGCTGGGCGGCCCATGCATTGCCAAGTCCCAGGCGTGGAATATCCCGTGGGGAAGCATGCAGTCCAGACCACACTGGAATCAGCTACTGCCATTGCTGTGTCTTACAGTGGGGTCCTTTACATTACCGAAACTGATGAGAAGAAAATTAACCGAATAAGGCAGGTCACAACAGATGGGGAAATCTCCTTGGTGGCTGGAATACCTTCAGAGTGTGACTGTAAAAATGATGCCAACTGTGACTGCTATCAGAGTGGAGATGGCTATGCCAAAGATGCCAAACTGAATGCACCGTCCTCCCTAGCCGCCTCTCCAGATGGCACACTGTACATTGCAGATCTGGGGAATATTCGGATCCGGGCAGTGTCAAAGAATAAGCCTTTACTTAACTCTATGAACTTTTATGAAGTTGCCTCTCCGACTGATCAAGAACTCTACATCTTCGACATCAATGGCACTCACCAGTACACCGTGAGCTTAGTCACCGGTGACTACCTGTATAATTTTAGCTACAGCAATGACAACGACATCACTGCTGTAACAGACAGCAATGGCAATACCCTCCGAATACGAAGGGATCCGAATCGGATGCCAGTCCGGGTGGTGTCTCCGGATAACCAAGTGATATGGTTGACCATAGGCACCAATGGATGTCTGAAAAGCATGACCGCTCAAGGACTGGAACTAGTTTTGTTTACTTACCATGGCAACAGTGGGCTTTTAGCTACCAAAAGTGATGAAACTGGATGGACAACATTTTTTGAGTAAGTATAAGAAAAATTTTACTCTAACTATAAAATATTGATATCATAATAGAGTGTGTAATAGTAACACATGCTTATATTCTGAAGAAAAGTACGTGACTGAGGCCCTAAGTTGCTATAGTTTTTATATCCCTCTTTTTAAAAAGAGACAAAATTATGAAAATTAGATGCAGAAACTTAGAATAGACCCATGCGTGTGAAACTCCTCAGAGATTAAATTTCATTTAGCTGCATGGTAAATTTACCTCTCTCCTTAGGAACTGACATTTTGCTCCTAGTACCCTTAGCAGATTAACGACAAACATTTCAAAGGACAACCAACCGTAGCTTTAGTTTTAGGCCTAAACCCTCTGGGTTTGGATTTTCCTGGTTGATGAAGCCAACTGTGGTGGGAGCTTTCACTAAAGAAAACCTTCGAAAATGGTTCACAGTGAACTTGGCGGGTTACCTCAGTACTGCGAATGTTATTCTTATCAAATAGAGGGCTTAGCTTTACAGTTACTAGAGAAGATAAGCCTCAGTTTAAAGGCCTTTGCAACCAAATGCAAATCAGGACTTTGGCCACCCTTGGAAAGCATATGAAGTTAGGAGGCTTGTGAAGCCAGGGCATTTGTGTGGAGAAGTGGCCCAGGCAATATGCTCTCCAGTCACATTTTGTGAGTTCAATGAGAGCGAAATGAAAATTAGCTGTTGTATATTTTATGGTGTGTGTACTTTACAGTGAGTGCCTGTGTAAAATCGTTTTCGATTGCTTGTTCACTTGACTAACATTGCACAAGCCACGAAGGGGAAATTAGGTGCACTGAGATGACATGTTGACAAATGCAAACTAGTCCTTGGGATGAATATTTTGAGTCCCTTAGTGTGATTTCTCACAGTGATAGACTGAAGCAGAAGGATGTTCTCCAAGAGCACACCTCTAAAATGACAATAAAGGTCAGGAGGAAAAGTCATTCAGCACACAAATATTTCCTGCACAACTTCTCTGGAATGGATCCCACACAGAACGCTCAGTTCCCCTGTAGTTGGAATGGCTTTTCTTTTTTTGACAGGTTCCCTTTTAATAAAATGAATGTTCCCCCAGCAGCGTGATTTTATCAGAGGAACAAACCTTTACAATTGAATTACATTAAAATTCTGTTCTTAGCATTCCTTTCCCTCATTTCAGGATCGCAATAGGAAAGGAATAAATTGGAAGTTAATGGAAGGCGCTTCCTTTGCCGGGCTTTCAAAGTGATAGCAGGCTGTGTGGCTGAAGAGGGAGAAGGCACAGAGAGAAAGTGCAGCCATCAGATAGGCCTGGGCAGGAAAGCAGTCCTCATTAGAAGATCTTCAGCAATGGTGGTGCCTCGGGTAGGGTTTCACTTTAGTTGAAAGCAGGGAGAGAAAAGAGAGGCTAAGTTTCCAGTACCGTCTTAAGGCTCGAGCTCTGCTCTGTGGGCCATTTTTTAACATGTCCCTGTTTGGTCCAGAAACTGACACTGCACAATTCCCTATGTGGTGACTACCAGCAGACAAACTGGAAGTCAACAGGATGGTTTACTGAGGGCCCCCAAATTCACTCAAACTTGGGAAATCAGAGAAACAGGCTCATTGTATCAGTGGGGTAGGTGTGGGACAGTTTAAACAAATTTGGATTTTTTTTTTTTTAAAGAAATTGTAGTGACACAAAGAAGACATACTCCTCTATAATATGTATATATGTTACATAATATTATGTACATAGATATTATAGAGGAATATATATGCATATATATATGTGTGTGTGTGTGTGTACACATATATATATACACACACACACACAAGCACTGTGGGGAATCAAGGGCTGGTTGGCAAATCAGTCTTGTGAACACAATGGGAAAGCATTGTTCTTGTAAGTCTCAGTTGTGTGTTTGCCACTGCAGGCTCATCACAAATCACATGTGTGTGGCCCTTAGAAGCTGCAGCTAGAGAAATGACAGCAAAAGTAACTATTTCCAAAAATTATCGCAAAAAGATGTAACACACACGGACTCTCTCCGGTATGCTTTAAGAGTCTATTAGACCAAACAGTATTTGCAAAATACTTTGTATTCATTTAAAAAAAAAAAAAAAGTAACACACGTGTATAATCCCAGCACTTGTGAGGATGAGACAGACATGGACCGAGAGTCTCAGGCCAGCCTGGATGATATAGTAAGCTAAAAGCCAGAATGAACTACATAGTCAAATCTCATCTCAATGTTTTTATTTTTTTAAAGTTATACATTGTTTATTCTTTTCTCCATATTTTCAGGGGGAAAATTGTAATTTTAAAAGTTGCGGAGAAGCATGTATGCTTTTTGAGAAGGTATGGAAAAGTAGAGCCGCTAGCCTAAGGAGTTCAGAATTGTCAGGTCTGAATGAAATGTTATTATTTTCTATGGGCTTTCAAAAGGGGCCACTTCTTCCAAGAGTCAGAACCTCTAAAACCCCTGCTCCAAGCCTGGGGCACACAAAGCAGAGGGCTTGTCCTCTTGGGACAGGCCTCCAGGACCCATTCTCATAGACCATCACATTTTGTCTGTGATCTTTGAAGGCAAGAAATGGACAAACCTAGCCCCTACTTCTGCTCCCAGAAGCCTTGACCACAACTTGTGCTTACCGTATCCTGACTTCACAAATGATTGCTGTGAGTGCCCTAGTGTATAGGATGGGATCTCTGAGTCCCTGCAGTTTGGTTTCAGAGTCCTGGGACCTTTCTCAGCCCATCTCTGGGCTATCATGACCAAGCCACTGGAAGGACCATATGATCTGTGCTTGTCCTCTCTGACCCAACCAGGGAAACAAGCCCAGCTCGGTCCATGTCTCACTCTTACACTGACCTTGGCTATCTGCTAAGTGTTACCCACCCTCCAGCCTTGCAGGTGCCTCAAGTGCTGTTCATCATCCTGAACTCTGTCCTCACATCTGCATGACGGCCTGGTGGCTTTCCCATGGTAGCGTTAAGGCTATCCCCGCCAAGATAGAGCTGAAGTCTTTTTTGGTGGCATCACATTTAGCTGCTTGTCTATAGCATGGTCTCTTCTTGTTAGCAGCCAGCCTTACTTCCCATTTAGTCTGTCACAGTTAGCTGCATCGGGAGCAAGGATATATGAAAGAACAGTAGTGCCTGTCCTACATGTGTTTCTCAAGGGAGCCAGCCAGCCTGCAATTACTAACCCAAAGCCCTGTCCCTCCTCATCTTTCTAGCTTGCTTATCTCATGCCCAACTACATGGTTTCTTACTCATCTTCCTCAGTCTTGGCCATGTTAACCCTTCATCTCCCTCTTGACACCAGCCAGTGTTCTAACTATAATTTATATGGACAATTTGGCAGTTTTCATCACCTAAGGCCTCCCTGTGATTTTGTAGTCATTGGTGAACTGATGTCCTGGTAATATTCTACTTCGTGTTCCTATCGTCCAGTGTGTCTAATTCAGACATAGAAAGACACTTGATAAGTTTGTAAAGAAGGGATTTGATGGCTTTGACAATGGTCAGGGTTTTCCCAAAACCGAAAGGAGATTGTAACAGAACCAAAAAAAAAAAAAATCATCCCCTAACTGAGAAACACCTGTTTTTTTGTTTTGTTTTTGTTTGTGTTTGTGTTTTGTTTTGTTTTCTTTTTTTGGTTTTTGTTTTTTTTTTTGTTTTTTTACTCTCACTACACCAGTCCTTTAAGCTGCTAGATGGTCCATAATCATCTTTTGGCATAAACACCTTATATAAGAAATGGCAGTTTTCAGTCCAAATCCCCACTTGTTTATGACCAGATTCACAGCTAGCCTGGTATCTGAAAGGGTTTGAAATTAAAGCTTTTATCAAATAGAAACAGATGGAAGACCTGGAATCAATCAATTTGCCTACTGTAAAAAACATGGTTACCATAGTTCCCGCCAAAGACATTTTAAAGGAGAGTGAGTTCAAATTACTAACCTTGAGTGTTTTCATTTTATCATTTTTTGTTGGTGGCACAAACTTTAGTCTGCCATTAGCATTTTGAAATACTGGTGTGAGTACAAAGAAAATTTTTTTTTTTTTTTTTTTTTTTTTTTTTTGGTAATGCAAGCTGTTGTCTCTGGCTCCCATGACTCACAGAATGTTGCTATGAATACACAGTCCTCCTTGTAGTTTTTCATTGAAGAAACCTTGAAGGCAGAGGCCTATATAATGTAGTTGGGTGAATATACATTTATTGAGTACATTCTAATGAAACCTAGAGCTAGCTCTCACCAAAACTCCTTTTGAAAACAAAAAATACTGTTTAATGATCTCTTGTTCTCTGGGATAGTTGAAACCCCTGCACCAATTATTAATACATAAAATGTCAATATTTCCCATTTTTCTTGTCCATTTTTGATGTTTACCCAATAGTGCTTGTTTGCTCATTTTCTTTTTCTTCATAAAATACGAACTTCCTCAGTTGATCTTGTTGTTCAAATAATTGAATGAGAAAACTGAAGACTTCATATTGGTAGTGTTTTATTCTGAAATACTGCTTTTAAGGCATGAGGGCAGCAAGAACTATGTATATAACCAGTTGTGGTGATGTACCACCATAATCCCATCGATCAGGAGGCAGAGGGAGAATTGGGAGTCTGAGGTACACCATCAAAAGTTCAAAAGACATAGCAAGGCTCTGTCTCACAAAAGCAAGGGGTAAGGGATAAACTTGTTGAAAGATTGCTTGCCAAACAATGATAGGCTCTGGAATCCTTGCCTGAATGGCAGAGAGCAAATGAAAATAAAATTTTAAAAAGCTCTCCTCCCAAAGGGACGAAGGCCAAGGAGAAGAAGGTGGCCCCTCCCCTGCCATTGTCTATAGACAGGAGGCCAAAAGTTGTGAATCTTCTGGAAAAAAAGGCCTAGAGACTTAGGCACTGAACAGGACATCCTACCTAGAAGAGATCTCACTCACTTCACCAAAAGTCCCCAGTACATCAGACTTCAGCGGCGGAAGCCATCTTCTACAAGCCGCACAAAGTACCTCCTTCCATTA